TGCATGTGTACGGCAATCTTGTGTACTACTCTATCATTTGTTACATAGGTAGGTACTGTGAATGGCAGATCTCCTTAAGTAACATTAATCACATGCTCGCACTGACTTCGAACTCCTTTGCAAGCGACTACCTACAAGCCCTCCGTGACGTTTAAAAAAGGAACCAATAAATGTCCGTAGAGATTTTAGATGTCCCGTGTGCCTGTTATTTATATTTAATTGGTTTTGAGAGATGAGTACCAATAGGTACTGGGAGATATCGTGACCGTGGCGTTGTCAGGGCCTTTCCTGCATCCGCCCATCGGCCCTTACTTATCTCCTAGCCTGCTCATCATCCGATCCCGTGTGCTGCACACATGCATGCCCAGGAAGATAAAGTACCTGGTTGCATATGTACCTACTCCACTAGTACTTCTAGTTCACAACCTGATTGTGCGTCTCGAATAAAATCCCCAGCGGGGATGGTAGCGCCCACCAGTCTCATGTTCAGTGGTCTGAAGTATGGTGCCGGCAGTCTAGAGGGTACCGGTACCATTCTTGGCAAAATGGTAATTCATCCTGAGCCTTAGTCAGCACGGTTTTATTTTTTTATTTATTTTGTGTGACGCGGAATAGATTGCCTCCGATCAGCAATAATCGCGAAAGCCTGCGAAGCTCGTAAAGCTCAAAGTGTACCTGATGATCATAGTGATATAGAACTTCACTTCGACAGTGAAGAGGAGGACTCGGTGCTTCAAGTTGAGGTGTGCGGATATTGATGAGGAGGAACTAGTTATAGAAGGAGATGCTTTGGCACGCTTGATGGCTATAGCTAGTAGCATAGACTCGGACACACTGGCAGAAGAACCTAATTTTAAATACCAGCGAGGGGTTCAACAGTCTCGTAAAGCGTTATACCTGGCTCGAAAAGCAAGCCGAATTGCAAAAATTACGGAGTTCTTTAAATCAAAAGCCACTGCCAACACCGACTCTGTCAGGGTTAGCATACCTCATGCACTTGAGGCTGTACCAGAGGTAACTATATGGCGATTTTATCAAAAGTGTAACGCACGATGCAGGCATATCGTGATGGTTGCCAATATGGTTCAAAGACCGTGTATACAAAAGCCACCGTAGAACTCATGTACTGAATGGAGATTAGCCTGGCCCCAACACTATTGAAGATCTTTCCTATTTCTGTAATTTTAGTCTCTCTTGGCCTCTCTTGGCATGGGTAATTTATTGGCTCTCACATACAAAATGGCCTTTTCTTTTTAGCTATCTACTCACTCATTTTTTTCTTTTATTTATTTTTACAACGTAATTATTGTTCTCCATAGCTAATACTATCGATTTTACGTTAAAAATATTTGAGATCTGTCATGGTGGTGTTGTTGATACGTTAGTGGCACGCCCCCTAAAAATGGTACCCTCTAGACTGCCGGCACCATAACTTTGTCAAACGGGAGGCTTGGCTGGCTGCACGTCCGCAGTTGTATAGATAGGACGTACTTTACATCCTTTAGTATCTACATTGCATTTGAGCATACTTGTGACCGAACATGAGACAAGTGGGCCTAGCGTTATACCGTTAAGGAGTGGCTTCTCCCCATACTGGTGGACTAGGAATTATCCGAGGCTGCAATTGGTAATGGTATCACTCAAAAAAGTACCTAAGCCGTCTTGCCCATACCCTATTTGTCCGATATGCAAACCTCTCTCAACTTGCACCCGTTTAAGTATTGCCCGTCGGTTTATAGACATGTAGAGTTTCACAAGTTCCCCTGATTTATGTTATCTGCACCGCCTGTATATTTCAACCTTGTCCTGCTCGTTGGACAGTCGAAAATCAGACACTAGGTACCATAAGCCTGTGCATCGTTCGACCTGCATGCACAGGAGGTTTTCGCAAAATTTATATGTTAAGCAATTGAATGGAGTTGGGCGTAAGCAATGATGGCACTCAAAAGTTAATATAACCTGGGGAGTTTATAAAAAGTATCTACTCAATTCATACATGCAAGATGATGTCTGTGTAATTTGAATGTATATATCTCAATATGATGGCTGTTTACCTATATGTTGCCATGCTCTATGCTATATTAGAGATACTGAGGTGTTTGCTGTGGATGTCCTATGGACCCGGTAAAGCAATCTGAAGAGAACAGAACTATGTATCCTGCTACAATTAGGCTCGAGTCAGTAGTTAGATGCATAGTACCACCACATGGTATCGATGCCTGTTCCCTCCCGGTCCCGGTGCAGTGCGTCCATGGGACTGGGTTCCCTCCCTCAACAGGCTTCGGAGTACATATTATGGAGATAGCTATTCGGTTTGATATGGACGTGGGGTTCGGCAAATCGAGACTACAAAATCGGCAAATTCCGTATCCCCGACATGCATAGCTGACTCCTTCCAGAATATCTCTGGGTGCTTGTCTTTCTGCATGGAACATGGATCCAAGTTAAGGCACAATCGAATTAGCAATAAGCAGATAATGCTTATTTTATCACTTGAGGCTTATACCTACTTCATGAATTATTGTAGGATAGGCTTTAACGGTCTTCTATTGTAGCTAACTGTCAAGTGTTTCTAGGGATGGGGTAAAGGGTAGAAAAAGGTGGTAATTGCTTCCTTAGGTACACACAGTGAATCAAAGTCACAGTCCAATCCGTGGTATCCATGTAATTGGCAAAAGTATGCGGTGGTTCGGTAAACTGATTGAGATAGCTATATACTGGAAGTTCATCGAATTGCCTATTCTGGCGTCAGATTACGAATTGCCATATTGAGAATCATCGTACATACTAGTATTACTAAATATGATAGCTCAATTCTTGCCCAAGCACTAGGTCTAACCGACAGCCGTTAGGAAATATGTATTCTCAGGCTCTAATAGCCACTCCGAAAGGTATAGTACCGGGCGAAAGGAAAAAGGAGAGGCTTACAATTGAGTCATGTACCAGGTACAACGGATCCAGCATCCACGTTGGTTATGTTCCTCCATGTATACGAAGCCTGCTGCCTGCTGCCTGATCGACACATTAACATTATCCCGAAAATTTCTTCACGCCCAGAGAAAATGGTATGGGTGGGGCGTTGTCGTTTTGACAACCGAGCTGAAGGTCTCGTGATGAGTATAATCTGGACATAAGTTCCGCCCCAATCGGCGGTTTGGAACCCCTTTCACTCCACGTGATTTATCTGTTGAGTCTAGCAATTGATATGGTTTCCCAAGATTGTTCTAGCGCACGGACCATGTAGAGCCGAGTGTGGCTTCTGTTCCCGTGGCTTGTGATAGATCACCGGGTGTCTCCACAAATGTCCTAGGCATTCAGGGGGTGATCAATATATTGAGCCCTGTAGTGAACTAGTAGCCCCTTTGATCTACTGTCTTTGTATAAGAACGAAACAAGGAGGTTTAAGATTCATTGTATAGTTAGGATCGAGGGAATATGTGAAAGGACCTTAGCATATATGCTTTCAGTGCTCCATAGGTCCTTTATTTCTGGGGCGAGCAAGCTCATTCAAGAAAGCTAACCGTAGGCAGATCCTAGGAACATGTTTATGGGTTTCATGAATTTAGTTATCACAAAAGTTAGCCCAGTAGAGCCTATATCAGCATTCAGACCCAGTAAGGCTAGTCCCTCCGCAACCCTCTCATGACTAAGGCCTAATAGCGTGCAAGCTTTAAATTTGGTGTGTACCTGATACTCTGAAGTTGAACAGCCTGTGTTTATTTAGCTCCCTTCACAATTCTTAGGTGGCCTAGCGCAGCTGAGAGGAATATGCACGCTTCCGGGTTATCAATTCCTAACTTGATTTTTATATATATATATATTAAACTCGGTACTCGGATGCGGCCCAATAAGGGAGGGCTAGATAAGTTAATCTGTCCGCCAGTAGAAAATAAATACGTCGATTGTTGGTTGACAAAGGGAAATCTTGGAGACAGGAATATATCGCACACAAACTAGAATATCATAAACACATGATTGTCGATAAAAGGGAAAATCGTGGAAACAGAGAGATAACTAAATCAGGGGCGGAAGTAAGGAGGGGCTTGTCCTGCGAATGGGTGTATAGATAAGAGAAAAAGGTTTCAACTGCGTCCCACTGATCTACGACTTACCCTCGTTCCGAATCGGTTAGTCAAGGACCCCCCAAGAGGTGAAGTCACCGATCATGTCCCTTCTTGCAGCGGGAGAGTCAAAGGTGATGTCCGCTGACGGACATCCGCAATGTAGGCAACTGACTGGCTCTGCTTTTCCCATGGGGGACAGCCAGCTTCTTGGGGGCCTCGGTCTGTTCGAATCCATGTGTAGGCGGATAGGCATGTCTGTTCCATTGTAGACCGTTTGGATTCGCACCTGAGGTTGTGGGTGCGGTCGTTCCGGCAATGCTTTTTTACGTATCATCCGTATGCCTTCATGGGTTGTGATTCGTTGGCGGTTTGACATGGCTCCAACCCGAGCTCCTGACCCTAAGGAAAACAACTCGGACCTGAGGAAGTTTACCAATGCACATTATAGAGTTTCATCTAGTAAGGGCATAAGCTCTAGAAATTCCGTTTGAATTAGAAAGAAAAGATGGCCAATATATAAATGACACGCAAATGTATAGTAGTTTAGAATGCCGTGATTTCTAGTTTTTAGCCCCACAAAGTTGCTGTCATGTCCAAGAACATAATTCATATATATTATGAAGCTGTTCATTGAATCTGTAATATGGTAGGCTGGTGATGGGAGGCTGGGGATGGGAGGCTGGTGATGGGATAATATCAGAATATACTTACTGAAATACATGAACCAATGACTTTATGCGTTACCCTCAGAACACACAAGCAGCCCTAGTAACCACACTACTGATTCTTCTGTTCCCTCAATTCAGACAAAGTTAACAATAATATGTAGTAAAGTAAGTTGCCAAGCTTTGAGGATGAGATTGACTTTACCTTATACGCTTTCTTATACTGCCAGTAGATGTGCAGGCTCCAAAAAAAAAGAAAAAAAACTTCTGCAGGTCGAACTGGGAGTCGAACCCAGGTCACAGGAAGATCTTTAAATGTTCAAAATCCTATGTGCTACCGTTACACCATTCAACCACATGCTGGTGGTTTGTGTCATGAAGTATACTAAGAAGTATATACTACGCCAAACCTTAGAGGAGCTTAACTCGTCAATTCCTTACTTTGCCCCTCTAAATAATGTCTGCAGCTGTAGAGAGGAGCCCAATAAGTTAAGAAACGCACATATGAAGCCGCTTATTAGGACAGAGCAAAGATCTTCTCTTGGAATTTCATCCATTTGGCTCAAGAGTTTATAAACCGTGATACATCGCTTTATAGGTACAATATATGAAAAATAGGATATCATGTTCCATATATGGTAGAAAGAGGGAGTAGGTAGTTGAATTGGGGAGTTAAGCCACTGAAAATTGCGTAATAACACAAACCCCTCAAGATATTAGAATCTCTGACCTGAAGGCAGACTACGTACTCCGAAAAGTCTCGAAGGAGAAATAGTACACGACAGCGGGACTGTAATAACCCTCAGGGGACTGCTGTTCTAGTGGCTTGAGGCACATTGGATTTTATACAAAATTTAAAAAAAAAAGGACTCTGCGGGGTGGTATGAGGAGCCATCCGGGAAGCCCGTGTGGATTCAAACTTAACACTGTGTCTGGTACAGCTACATATCAGCACTGGAATATTTATCTAATATATATCAGTCTTTTAGGTGAATTCCTGGAAGTACTCCTACAATAGGTCGAGGGTATAACTAATTAGTGGGTCGGATAGTCACTTAGAGGGTGGGGTGGGTGCATTGGACATCTTAGTTCGAACAACAGAAAATAAGTGCTTCAGTATTCTTGGCAGGCAGCGTACCTGTTTCCCGAATATGGGTCTAGTTAAGGCTAGAAATATTCTTACATTCATACGTATAATACTGTATATAACTATATAGATGCACATATAAATATGTTCCGGCGACAGAGGGCTTTTCATGAAATGGCCCTACAACCACATACAATGGACTAGACCGGCCAGTGAAGCTAGCAGGGTCATGTGAGTCTGGGAATTAAGAAGTGGAGTTAACAACTCAACTCGGTGGGGCATAATTTGGAGATGCGGATAAAAGGCAGGTATTTTTAAAAATGAGAAAAGATAAGCAAAGAAGTTATAAACAGAGGCAAACCCCCCAGCGCAGACGAGGTTTTCCTACACACTGCACAAACAACTTGTGCAGCTTTTTCAAGGCAGCTCGCACTTCTCAATTCACTACCACCCACGAGGTACAGGTAATGCAATTTGCTGCAATATAGTTGAGCGGGGGTTCTATGGATAAGGGGGCGCCGACACCAGAGGGAAGAGCGATATCAGAGGAAGAGGAAGAGGATGATCAACATGAAGGCGATGTGTATATTTAGTTAGATGTTAATTAATTAAACAATTCTCTCTTTTTTGACTGACTGGTTCATTCATGAATAGACCGGACCATGATGACTGGGCGGACAATTCAATTGGTAGGGCCAGTAACCAACAAACTGGTCTATTTATGAAAACATGTCTGTCATAACTGGATCAGAACAGATATGTGTTCTATCCATTGTGGAATCTAGTCCATTCCAGCCAATACCATATTCCGCAACGGACCAGAACATATACATTGCATGGATATACATACATAGAAAGAGTGCATTTGTTCATCAGATCACAGTTTGAGACCAAGATATTTGCATCTAGAATTGACTATGTTACCTGCCAGTTCATTTATACAATGTACTAGCAGAATATAGTTCTAAAATCATCTAAGCCTTCATGATTACGGGAGCTCCATCACCTACTCCAGTTCTTAAGAAGTCATTACATCGTCCCCTTGCTAATATAAATGTATAATGTTAACTTGCATCCGTCTTCATCCAATCTCTTTTTTCAGGCTGTCTTAATATATCAAATTCTCTAGGCTAGGAGAGTTCCTAGTCCAAGCCCCGATATTTTTCGAAGATCCCGTTTTTTCTTTTTTTCTTTTTTCTAAACTCATTACTCCTATTCGGGCCCAGTAATCGGAGATGCCGTTGGATGCTCATAGACCCATTGGTTGTCATTATCGACGAGGTGACACCTTAGTTCCACAAACAAAACGGCAATTTGAACATAAAAAGAGTTTTCAAAACAATATTTTCATGAAACTTAAAAAATATTTTTATAAAAAAAGACCCAGAGAGGGAAAAAGGGTTTTAACTTAAATTTTCGATACTGGAAGCCCCATAATACGTCATCTTGGACCTCCCATGTGATGTGAGATTGATTTTCTCGAAGTGGTTGTATAATAGTGTTGTAATCCACCCATAATCCTCATCTGGCACCTGTGGTGTCAAATACGGCCTTTATTGTTTTGTTGGAAGACAGTTGTGCCATTATCGAGGAGTGTGATAATGATTTCCCGTATCATTTGTGGCACAAGGCTCAGCCACATATATATATCTAAGGAAGGTCACGTTGTACCGTCTGTAGCGATATCAATTCAATGCTGGCGCCTGTAAGATTTACGAGCTCAGAAGTTTGGTGTTTAGATCAAGCGATTGACTTCTGTTATAACTGACTGATACTGCTCCGTTTCCTCCCATAATCTATGTACAGGATTTTGCTTCGCTTTATATACCCAATTCTTGCATACTTTGGGTGCATGAAACCTCTCAGACCGCAGAGTTTTTTTATTTATATTTTTATTCATTTAATTATCAGACCACAGTCGTGGTTTATGCTTATGTCCCACTTGGGTCAGGATGAATGCGAGTGTAAGATATATGTATTTATCGCAAAAACTGAGAATTTTATTTTTCTTATCACTCATCATTGCCGCTGATATGCTGTTTGAATGGAGGTCTTTGCGTAATTGCTTCTAGGCTGCTTTGATTTTCAAGCTGACCATGCTGCGAAGGTGCCCTTGGTTAGCGGCGAATTGGTAGTTGAAGGTTATACAATGAATTTTGAGGTAACCCCTGTGGGATGGCTAACTGTTTAAGTATATTTTCAGTGGAGGACTTACTTTATGAAGGTGGTATTAAATGCTGTCTAAAGAACGTTCCTCCTTTAAACGATTATACAACTCCATTACTTACATCGATACTAAGTTACTATACTTTTTTAGGAGCTCGTCCAACTCTGAGGAGATCTCCCGGGCAATGATACTGAATTGTTACAGTGCACTTTTATAGGCACTGTATGTATTCCAAATCATCCTGCCAACAACGAGGAAGTCCACTACTCCGTATCCAAAGCACATATTTGGGTGTGCTGCAGCTAGGTGTACATGCAAATCTATGACTACATATGTAAGAAACAAGTGAAAATGAGGCAGTAGGTTGTAAATTATATATTTCCAGAGAAAAAACGTACTGCCAAATGGTTTCTCGTGCCGCCAAGTGTTTAGAGTTATTCACATGAGTTATTCACATGAGTTATTCACATGAACGTATGGAATAGACGAGCCATAGCACCAAGGCACCAGCACCGCTAGCAGAGGCTAATCTGCAGTAGGAACCCTATGTGTGTAATCATGAGAACTTAGACCTTGGGAGGGGTGATCTATAGAAGGATCCCTGAATCCCATTCTCATATACTTACTTGCTCTCTTCACAGTCTAATGAAATACGTTCCTCCCTGGAACCCTATCAGGTTGCGATGTCCCTCATCACACTTACACCAGAGGTTGCCCCACTGTTTATTCTTTGGCAAGCCGTTCAAGCACCCATGGATATCACGGACGAGACCAAGGCACAGTAACCACAAACTAGACAGATCAATCGAGAGCACCAGATCTTAAAAAAAAAAAAAACTTCCATTGCGGCCCTAACTCACGTGAGCTCTATGCTTGTTACCAAGCTCCACTACACAAGATGTTCTGGAATCTGGCTCTAGAACACCAAAGTACTAGAACACCCGACCACCCAATTCAACCGAACACGCCAGCAAGTCAAGGAGCAACAAGTGGTAGTCTCGGCATGAGACTACAGGTGGCGCACGATAAGTACCCATCAACGAAACCTAACCCAATCACGAACGCAGCTCACCCCGCCATGGAGGAGCATCACGAGAAAAACTCAAGCCAAAAGAATTCAGTAGAACTCCAAGCCTCCCAAACTGCCTGGTCACCAACAACATGAGTGATTACGAGAACTCAAACAACCTGGAACCTCTGACGTCGACTCTTATTTTTATTCAGTGAGATACTGTCCAAGGACTGAGTGGTTGCAAGAACTCAAGAACCAGGACACTTCCGCCATCGCTTTTAACTTTATCTTGTTCAGCGCGCTCTCACAAGCACGTTAGTCTAATCTTTATCAACTATCGAGCGAAATTACAAAGGCATGTTCGCTGTTACGGAGCCTTGTCCCAAAATCCCCCAGCCCGTGTTCTGTATTGGGAACCCCACCAAAATTGTAGATAGCGAGGTAGTCTGGATAGCGAGGAACCACAGTGCCAACCAGACTAGGTTAACTTGCCTTATCCTGAATCCACTCCGGGTCTAGTCTGGTTGGCTACGGGTGGTCCCCCTAACGAGTACCGTATGTATTTAAAAAGAAAAAAAAAATCGGCAACTCGCTCAATTGCTGACTGATGTACACGTTCATACGGCTCAACATGACCCTGACTCAGTACGACTTCGCTGTGCTCTTACTGGTTCTCTGGCTGCTATTCCAGTTCCAGTACAGAGTAACTCGAACCCTATCACCTGCATGACAACCGAACACTCTCTAATGTACACGTAGTGTAAATACATATGTACACAAACAAACCCAACCACTCTTCTTCGTCTACATCCTCCCCTGCACGCATCCCAGCTACTTGCTCCCATGCACACATCCCAGCAACAACCACTCATCATCCTTGTTTATTCTTCATTCCTCCTATTTAGTCTTCACGGAGAAAGAAAGCGGCTGTTACGATTCCTAAAGAGAAACGCTCGTGGGCGCATGGCTCCCGTTAGCAGTTTAGAACAGGTTTTGATAACCTCACCTGTGGGTTCAAAGAAGAGGAAGGCGGCCGTTACTGAAGTGGAAGAAGTTGAAGTCGAGAGTGAGGAAGAAGCAGCAGCAGTT